GTCTCCCAAAGGCTCACAGGTGAGACAATGCAAGAAGATTTGGAGGAAAATGATAGCCCTAACCTAATCAGATAATTAATCCCTGGTGGGATTAACTGAGTGATAACTGGAGGCAGGTGGAGTGTGGCTGGAGGAAGAGGTTCATTGGGGGTATATGTTTCTACCTGGCCAGTGGAGTCTTTCTCTCTCTGCTTCCTGATCATCATGTGAACTGCTCCCCTCTGCCACATTCTTCTACCATGATGTTCAGCCTCACCTCAAGCCCTGGGGAGTGGAGCCAGCCTTCTATGGAAGGAGACTTCTGAAACTGTGAGCCCCCAAATAAACCTTTCCCCCTCTACAGTTGTTCTGTTTGGGTCTTTCAGTCACAGCAGCAAAACAGTTTACAAATAAAACAATGGCTTAAAAGGAGAATATCAACTTTGCTGTTCCTGAAATTTATGAGAAGGGAAACTCTAAAATCCTGGGTACCTCACCTTTGCTGGAACACAAATATAACTGACCCAGATATAATAATGGAACTGGGGGGCTGGGGCAGTGTCCATGGCAGAGCATGTGCTTAGCATGTGAGTTCAATTCCAGGGTGGGGTTGGGGTTTAAGGGGATGGGGTGAATGAATATAAATTATTTTCATAGAAAAATGAGGTGTCCCAAATCAATTCTAGTTTTACTAATCACATTTCAAACCAGCCAACTTAAAAAATATGTTTCAAGTCGGGCACTGTGGTGCAGGCCCTTAATCCCAGTGGCTCAGGAGGCTGAGGTAGGAGGATCACCAGTTCAAAGCCAGCCTCAGTTAAAGCAAGGTGCTAAGCAACTCAGTGAGACCCTGTCTCTAAATAAAATACAAAATAGGGCTGGGGATGTGGCTTAGTGGCCTAGTGTTCCTGAGTTCAATCCCTGGTACCCCCAAAAATGTTTCAATAAAAGAGTTCCTCTTACTTTTGAGACTATGCAAAAATTTACCTAAAAAGCTTGACAAAAGTACTGTTCTAAACTGTCAAACACCAGTAATCCCAGCAGCTCGGAGGCTGAGGCAGGAGGATTGAAAGTTCAAAGCCAGCCTCAGCAATTTAGTGAGGCCCTGAGCAACTCAGCAGAGTCTGTCTCTAGTTGAAATATTTAAAAGGGCTGGGAATGTGGTTCACTGGTTAGGGACTCTGGGTTCAATCCTGAGTACCACACACACAAAAAGATTAAATAAAAAGGTAAATGATATTATCAAATGAGCTACTCTTGTACCTTTCCACCAGACATGTGGACATGCAAAAACAACCAGAAGCCTTAAAAAAAAAAAAAAAGATAGCATCATGGGTTACTGGCAATAAACAGAACGGGAGTTAACCTTTTCCATATCCTTCAGCCAAAGCAAACCAGGATATACAAGACACTTTGGAACCACCTGAAACATGTAAATTAAGAATTTAAATCATACTGTTCCATTGGGTCCTCTTACTGGATTCAAGGTTTAAAGACAAGTATTTTCTCAAATGATGTATGAAGCAGCATGCACATGAAAGATATAAATAAAATTATACATGATGGCAATTATTATTATTATTATTATTATATTTTGTTACTGGGGATTGAGCCCAGGGGCTCACACATGCAAGGCAAACATTCTACCACTGAGCTACAGCCCTTTTCAAAAGTTCTCTCTTGAGACAGGGTATCCCTAAATTGTTGAGGTTGACTTCAAACTTGCAACCCTCCTGTCTTAGCCTCCAAGTCTTCAGGATTACAGGTGTGTGCCACCATGCCCAGCTAGAATAATTATCTTACTACACCTCATTTTGAAAATATTCAGAAGGCATTTTCTTTCAGTTGTGTACAAAGCTTTGGAATGGGGCTGGGGTTGTAGCTCAGTGGTAGAATTCTTGCCTACCATGCATGAGGCATGGTTCCATCCTCAGCACCACATAAAAATAAATAAATAAAGATATTATGTCCACCTAAAACTAAAAAGTAAATATATAAAAAAACTTAGGAATGTAAAATCACTGTAACAAAAATGTACTGTCCCACTCAATAAAATCTTTAATCAAGTAGTTGAGAAGAAAATATCTTTACCTAGGTCAAGTACTATCAAAGGAAAAGAAAGGTCCAATGACATGAGGGCAACACCACCATCAGCAGGGTCTGAATGGCAGAGCAGCCAGATAGTATTTTGACCTTTCACTGACCTCATTTTAAAATGAGTATGTGCTCTAAAAAATTAACATCATCTCTTAAAATATTGTCTCTTTAAAAATTCAATATTATCTCTTTCAAAAAATGAGTAAGTATTTAGTATCACAAATATTTTGTATGGTGACCACAGGAGCTGACTGGCAGTGCTGATAATTATTTCTTTACTATGTCAAATTGTTAAAATCTGACCATTAACAATAAAAATCAAATAATTTAACATTTTGGAAGAATTTCACTTGATTCCAAGAGTTTATTCTATAACAGTAATATTTGACTTTGGCCTTGGGTTTAGTCTAATATTAATCATTAACTTATTGGTCAGGGCATTTGGTGAAAGGGTATACTTGGTACCCCTCTTCTGAAAATGTCTGATCTCAGGCCAAATTTCACATGGACCCAGAACTCAAAATTACATTTCCCTGGGGTTGGGAAACTCCCAAACTGAAGTAAATTAAAGTGTAATCAGGTTGTTAGTGTCTCTGGTTACTCATAAATGGAGATTTTCCCTGGAAGAAATAGTTTTTAGTCAAGTTTCTCTGAATATAAATGACATGTTTAAGGAAACAAAAGATAAAAAAAAATTCATAAGTGATATTGGTCTGTAGTTTTCTTGTAGTATCTTTGGGTAGCTTAGGTATCAGGGTTATGATAAAGGAGATTTGAATAACACAGTTGGAAGTTTAATTTAAGCATATATGTCTTATACGTGTTATATATGTACACGAATGTGCATGTGTACATTTTGTATTCACAAATTGTATGTATGCATATGTATCCTATTTTCCAGTTATCCAAACATCATTTACAAAAATCCATCATCTACAGACAAATCTCTACAAATGTTCCAAATATTCCTCATTTAATGTTAACAAAATGGAAAAAAAATCAATAAAATTGTCAAAAATATCACTTGGAATTCTAAAACCATCTTTCCAAATAACTGAAGTCAAAGCAATCAAAGCCCATTCAGAAAATGACAGTGAGACCATTATTTTGTATACCAACAAAATTGTCCTCAGAGGAAAATTAATATATGAAATGTTTTTTATTAGAAAGACAAAAAAGATAAAAAACAAATGAATCAAGTGTACACCTTATAGAAGTTCAGATTCTTTGTTGGCAAAACCAGAAATCAACTCAGGAAAAATAAAAGTTAAAACAAATTTTTGGTTCAGCTCACAGAACCGAAAGAGAAAGCTGAAAAATTAAGCCCCCAATGGGCAGGAGCCACGGTGGCTCTGGGGAACCAGGTGAATTAGCTTTGGGATCCTCAGCTACCAGATGAGTGAGCTACAGCTGTTTTCTGTCTTATCTTTTTGCTTAAGATTCAGTTGCCATGGAGAGAGCATCCAATTAGTCTAGGTCAGGTTTCACATCTTTTTTTTTTAATCTACAAATTAATGTTCAATGCATCTTAACTGATGGTCTCTCCAAACATTATCCAACAGGGAAACATTAGTTCCTTAAGAAAATTGGGATAGTATTATCAGAAGAAGGGGCAATGGATATGGGATACAAAAAACAGCAAATGGGTAAAAGGTAGATTTTTCTAGCATGTTCAGTATATAATTTATTTATAGTTCCAAAATTCATGAATGCTCAATAGTAATTGAATGGTTAGATAAAATATGGCACAATTAAGATAGTCTATAATGTAACCCTTAAACTAATGTTTTGAATTAATATTTAAAGATGGAAAAATCTTATTATGGAAATATAGGATAAAATCTTTATAGTTTATTAATTTTAGTTTAAAAGTTTTATTTTGATGTATAACCAACACTTGAAAGAAATACACTAAAGTGTGAGTAGTAGAATTGTAACTCATTCCCCCCTCACCTCTCTCATCTCTATTACTTTCTATATAATACTGTATATTATCATATATTATATATATTACATATAGAGTACTATTTGTGGGGTATATATTATGATAAAATATTATATATGTAATGTAGTATATATGGTATATTATATATAATTACTACATAATATATATTACCATACTATTACCATTTATAGTATGGTAATATATATTAATATTATATTTCACTGTGTATAATATATTATGATATGTTATATACTATTACTATTATATATGTAATATAATATAGTATATATTATAGTATATAATATAGTATATATATCCATAATATATTGCTATATTATATGTATTAATATACAATTACTATAATATATACTATTATATATGTGATAGTATATATGATATAGTATAGGTAGTATATTATTATATTACTAGTATATTACATATTACTACTTATACTATATTAAAATGTTATATATTATTTCTACCATATATGTACTATATGATTTATAATATAATGTATTGCTATTTATATATATTACTATACAATTATTATATTATATATTATATAATTAAGATGCTCTGACCATTAATTTCTAGATTAATAAGTCATCTCATATATACTATATTACACATATAATAGTATATAATGTATAATGTGTTATGATACATATTATAGATTATATATCATATATACTATATTACATATAATAATACCCACACACAAATAGTAATAGGTCTATATCAGTTATACAACAGGTATTTTCACAGACTTTCCATATTTTTAAACAATAAAAATATATAATTTTTTAAGATAAGGTTAGCAAATGTAATACCAGACAAAATTAAATTTGGGCAAAATATTCAAAGAGCCCATCTTCTCATGGACAATTCCTCAAGAGAAAGGCAACCACTGTGACATAGGGACAGCCGTGTCTTCTGTTGACTGCTTTGAGTGACTGGGCTCTTGCTGGGGTCTTCTAACCTTCCCACCTGGTCTCCTCTTGCTCCAGCTCCTCCTGGCTTCGCTCAGTGTCTGAGTTGGTGGGTGATCTGGCTGGGGGTTCAGTTCTGCTTGGTTGCGGCCCTGCCTGACCCCAGCTCTCCACATCCTAGCTTCCTGCTTATGTGGAAAGGGGAGCTCATTTTCCCACAGAGCAACCTGGAAGGATAAGGAGTAAAAGCTGATGGCGACGCACAGCACACCAGTGACTTCACTGCAGCATAGGGTAGTGACTGTCTTCTTGTTTCCAAGGGCTGGGGATTACAGTGTGTTATGGTTGGATCCTAAACGTCCCTCAAACCCATATGCTAAACACTTGGTCACTTGCTTGTGGCACTATTGGGAGGTGGTGGAACCTTTAGGAAGTGGAGCTTGGTGCAAGGAAGTTGGGTCCCTGCGAGTGTGCCCTTGAAGGGGATATTGGGACCCTGGTCCCTTCCCCTCTCTGCTGCTTGGCTGCCATGGGGTGAACTCCTTTGCTCCACCATGAACTGAGCCATCATGCTCTGCCTCACCACTGGCCCCAAAAGAATAGAGTCAAATAGTCATAGACTGAAACCTCTGAAATTGTAAGCCAAAAATAAACATTTCTTTCTTTTAACTCATTTATGTTAGATATTTTGACACAGCTATGAAAAACTGGCTAGCACAAAGTGATTGTTCCCTCCACCCCCAGTCCCTTACTAGGGATTGAACCCAGGGGCGATCGACCCCTGAACTACATCCCCAGCCCTTTTGCTGAGTTACCCAGGCTGGCCTGGAACTTGCAATCCTCCTGCCTCAGCCTCGGGAGACCCCGACACAAACTGACTACTTTTTGTCGGTGTGGCAGGTATGTGGGAAAGCCAGGGGGTGAAAACACAGGCCCCTCTACTTTTGGAAACCTGTAAGTGGAAAACAGACCCTTGTGTCCTCGTATTCTCGCCGCCCCATCTCCCCAGACTCCTCAACAAAGCACACAGATCCTGCCGCTCTCTTGGGAGTAACAGCCAGCAGAGGCTCCTCCCAATGGCTCCACCAGCATCTCAAACAGGGTTTACCCCTGAGCCATCCAACTACCACCAGGTGGCGCCAAAGCGTAGTCCAGAGCTGGGGACTCCGACGCCGGGGCTAAGAGTCAGATGAGTGTCTCTGGGAGGCGGCCAAGCGCTCTGTCCACTCACCCCTTCGCAGAGTTGAAATGGCCCTGAAGGGGTAGAAAAGCCACCTAATTAGGAACGTGAGATCCAAAGCGGATATTTTCCAAGGAGAACAGGGAGGCAGCAAGCCTTGCAGATGCCAGTTCCCCAGCACCCTGGCAAATGATTAAGGCTGTCCAAGCACTAGAGGAGGTGGGATTGCCCCGGGTTTCTTCAGAACCCAGAGTTGCTAAAACGATATGTAAACGTTCCCCTTTGACCAAGAGGGGTCCCAAACTGGAAAACAAGTCACTAAGCTAATGACTGCTAAGTCTGCGTCAGGTAACAAAGGCCTGGAGAGGGCACTGACATACATCTCAAAGGATGCCAAAGAGGACAGGTGATGATCATTCAGAAGATCCTCCCTTCATGCTGCAAAAGTGCCCTTGACTTAGATGCAGCCACCAGGGAGGAGAAAGGATGGGGAAAACTAATTGGGAAAATCCTGCAAAAAACACAAGTGACTCATGCTAAGTGAAATAAGCTAATCCTAAAAAACCAAAGGTCGAATATTCTGTCTGAGATGCAGATGCTAACACATAATGGGGGAGAGGGGATTCATGGGATTGGATGGGGAGAGTTGGGGGAAGGAAGGGGAGATAGGAATGAGAGAGAGAGACAATCGAATGAATTGGACATAACTTTCCTGTGTTCCTATATGAATACACGACCAGTGTAACTCCATATGTACAATCACAAAAATGGGAAGTCATACCCCATGCATGTATGATATGTCAAAATACATTCTATTGTCATGTATAATTAAAAAGAACAAGTTAAAAAAAAAAAGACCAACAAGTAGAGGAAAAGGATTGGGAGGGAAGGGATAGAATTAGGGACTAAAATGTAGCAAATTATGTTATATGCATTTATGAATATGCCAAAATGAATTCCACTTAAAAACAACTATAATTCACTAAATAAAAATTTTAATGCAGGAAAAAATAACACAAGTGATTGAGTTCATCTGGACATGACTAATATTGTGTGTGTGGTTGGTGGGGTTCCCCCCCCCCATTAATGAGCATTTGGAGTGAAGTATACTCAAAATGGATTAAAAGTATATAATAGGGGTGGGGTTGTAGCTCATACAGCACTTGCCTAGCACATGTGAGGCACTGGGTTCGATCCTCAGCACCACATAAAAATTAAAAATAATAAATAAAGATACTGTGCCCACCTATAACTAAAAAATAAATATTAAAAATAAATAAATAGGGGCTGGGTTTGTGGCTCAGCGGTAGAGTGCTCACCTAGCACGTGTGAGGTCCTGGGTTCAATCCTCAGCACCACATAAAAATAAATAAACAAAATAAATGTATTTTAAAAACCCTGATATTCTTAAACAAAAGATTAAGGAAATAACTGTAAATGTAACATTGTTTATAAATAAATAAATAAATAAAGGTATTGTGTTCATCTATAACTAAAAAATATATTTTTTTAAAAAAGTATATAATAGAATGTAAAGTTACATTTTTCTTACCAAACCTGAATCTATGGCCTTTGAAATGCACATCAGCTACAAACACTCATAAAAATCAACTGCATATAAGAAATTATAATAAACTCCATAAAGCAGAAATTGTACAGACCAAATTCTCTAGCCACATTGCAACCAGTGAAAATGTCAAAACAAAATAATAAAAAGCCTCAGCCACTTGAAACTATAAAGAGGGAAAATTATCCCATAACACTAGAGTCAAAAAAAATCAAGATTACCATATCAGATTCTTTAGAAAGAATGAATAAGAAAATATAACATGTAGCTGACTCAGGTATGATGGCACATGCCTGTAATCCCAGCTACTTGGGAGGCTGAGGCAAGAGGTTCCCAAATTTGAGGTCACCCTGGTCAATTTAGAGACCATTTATGGAAGTAAGTAAGTAAGTAATAATAATAATTAATAATAATAATAATTTTTTAAAAAGTGGGGATAATGCTCAATGGTAGAGTGCCCTTGGATTCCATCCCCAGTAAAGCAACAAAAAAGAACAAACACAATATCTAGCTGGGTGTGGTAGCACACGCCTGTAATCCCAGTGACTGGAGAGGCTGAGGCAGGAGGATTGCAAGTTCCAGGCCAGCCTAGCAAACTTAGTAAGACTCTGTTTCAAAATAAAAACTTTTAAAAAGGCTAGGGAGGTAGCTCACTGGTAGAAGACTCTTGGGTTCAATCCCCGGTACCAAAAATAAAAACATGAATCTAAGATGCATAGACCAAGCTGTGATCAAGATATGAATTCATAGATTTAAAATTTTAAAATTTGAATTTTTGTTTGTCGAGATTGTAATCCGGATATTTCACTTAGAAATCTATCTTATTTTATTAAGTGCTGGCGAGGATGCGGGGAAAAAGGTACACTTATACATTGCTGGTGGGACTGCAAATTGGTGCAGCCAATTTGGAAAGCAGTATGGAGATTCCTGGGAAAGCTGGGAATGGAACTACCATTTGACCCAGCTATTCCCCTTCTCAGACTATACCCAAAAGACCTAAGAAGAGCATACTACAGGGACACAGCCACATCAATGTTTATAGCAGCACAATTCACAATAGCTAGAATGTGGAACCAACCTCGATGCCCTTCAATAGATGAATGGATTAAAAAATGTGGCATTTTACACAATGGAATATTACTCAGCACTAAAAAATAATAAGATCATGGCATTTGCAGGCAAATGGATGGCATTAGAGTAGTTAATGCTAAGTGAAGCTAGCCAATCCCTAAAAAACAAATGCCAAATGTCTTCTCTGATATAAGGGGGGTGACTCAAAATGGGATAGGGAGGAAGAGCATGAGAAGAAGACTACCACTAAATAGGGAAGAGAGGTGGGAGGGAAAAGAGGGAGAAGGGGAGTTGCACAGAAGATGGAAGGAGAACCTCATTGTTATACAGAATACATATATGATGTTGTAATGAGAAAAAGAAAAAAAAGTGTGCCACATTAGATTGGATAGAGAGAAAGGATGGGAGAGGAGGGGAGGAGTAGGGGGATAGGAAGGGCAGCAGAATAGAATAGACATTATGATTGAAGTATGTACATTCCATGTATATATTATATGTCAAAATACAGTCTGCTGTCATGTATGACTAAAAAAATAAATAAAATAAAGATGTTGTGTCCACCGAAAACTAAAAAATAAATATTAAAAAAAATAAATCTATCTTATTTTATTTATTTATTTATTTAGGTACTGGAGCTTGAACCCAAGGGCACTCTGTCACTGAATTCATACCTAGCATTGTTTGTTTGTTTTCTTTTTTCTTTCTTTCTTTCCTCCTCCTCCCCTCCTCCTCCTCCTCCTCCTCCTCCTCCTCCTCC